TGCTGATGCTGTCCGTTCATGTTTTTAGAGCCATTGTATTTTTACAAATACACCTATTTTGACACTTGAGCATCCTCTCTTTCTAGATATGGATTCTTCATATTGATGAATCACGGCTGTCAGCATGAGTCCCACAGACTGCATGCACTACCCAGGAACATTCTGTTGGGCTTGTAGAACCCATTCTGCACTGAAGACCCCTTCCAGTGAAAAAATCCTCTCCAGTTTTATTTTTGCGAATAGTTTAGCTGATTTCAGTGGAAAGCTAATTCCTTCCCTTTTTGTAAGCCTTTGGGGCAGAATTGGCAACCCTAGAGGGGTGGAAAGGCATCTTTCAGACTTGCCAGAAGCCTGAAGGGACATGGCTTGAAGGGATGGTGCATAGATTAATTAATATTTCAATTTTTTCTTGTGAAATGACTCTATAATTTCTTTAACATAATTAAATCTTCACCATAACTTTACAACTGTGATGAAAAATGGTAAACCACCCTGTCCATCGAAATATACTTAAACAGGAATCAAATAAAGATGAACAGAATTTTTAAAAGAACGATGCCACTATATTAAAGCTCAGAAAAGCAAAATTGTCCCTAATCTATCTAATAAAATTATTTCACAAATGCCCATATTTCTTTGTACATTAAAAAAAATAACAAGAGTTGAGCTTACGTAGTCAAGTGACTGAGAAGAGGCAGAAAGAAAGCAGATTTCTAGAGAGACGAGTAGAAAGAACATCCTTGGGTTCTCTTTCACGGACAAGAGTCTAATGTGCTGACTGAAGTCAGGTGATGCCAAGGGATAACATAAGCAGGTCACTAAAAACAGAGGCCAAACAGAGAAATATTTTCTGTCCTAGCTCATCCGTTTGCGTGTGTCTCAATCTCCTGGATGCCTGATTTGTCAATATTTTATTGCTCACAGGACTTCCTCTATTATATGGAAGGATCCTTATCCTTCTTCTGCCAGGCCTGGTCTGAAGGGATGGAGACTGCACAGGGTCTTTGTCACAACCAAGCAGATGTAGATCTGGTCTGTGCCCAGATGTGGCATCATCTGGGAATTCCCTGTGCCGCATCTCGACTTCTAAGAGGGAAAACGCAAGATCGTGATGCAATAAATAGGTAGGATAAATTCCTCTCAGCTTATTGCCTTTTCCCTGATCCTTTCCATCCCTCTGAAATGAAATACAGTTGTCTGAGTTGGCAAAGCAGCATTCAAAATGTCCTACTAATCGAACATTAAAGGGAAGGGAATACAATAGGGCAGCTACGTACTCATCACTGAAAAAGAGGAAACAAATGATTGAAGGAGCGAAACTTTAGGTGTGAATGCTGGTCCCTCGACTGAAATAGCAATCCTGTGCCTACTCTCACCAGCTGTCCAGCTACAAACCATTGATGGCCAATTTGAGGGGCACCTGCTCTATGCCGTAAGCCATGACATTGCTAAAAAGGAATACAAAGGACTAGAATAGTTTGCACAAAATTGCAAGAGCTAGCTCTCCACGCTGACCCTAACTTTCCTCTCCTTTCCCTCCCTCTTCTCTCTCCCCCCTTTCCTCAGTCCACTTTGGGTTTACTGTATATGATTAGTCGGTGCTGTGAGAAACAGAGGAATCAGTTCTGCTTTTGCAGGATCTTACAGAGACATTGTGATTAAGTAGATTGCTTCTGTAACCAATTAGTACAGGCATTCGTTAATTATGTAGTTGACATTAGGAATTTTAGGGGAGGTCCGGGAAGCCAATAGAAAACATACAGATACGGGAGGTCCCCTATTGTACTGACAAAAAGATTAAGTGAATGAACCTGGGTAATAATGAAGAAACTTAATGGGTCAGTTAGAATGAATGCAGTGAGGTTAAGGAAAGGGAACATATACGGTGCCAAATAAGGAAAGAAGTGAATAAGGGTTTGGGGTCTAGGAAAAGAGAGGGGTGAGAGATGTAAACAAAGGTGGGACTTCCTGTGATCAGTTTAGGCACATTGGACAGGCAGTACACCGTGGAGTACCCAGACCAATGGGGAAACAAGGGAGTGACCATACGGTCGGGAGTAGGGGATAAATATCATGCTGCCTGCATTGATAGGTGTGCCTACCCAGTTAGGACACCCACTTTTCCAAAAGTGCTTTTTAATAAAAGAGTGCTGCTTGTATTTGTGGTTGTCTGGTTACTGCTTTTAAATAACAAGGGGTGAGCATTTCTCACAGTGCCATCTGATTTTGGGTTATTGTTGTCGCTTTTCATGTTTTTATCTTTATTTTTGTTTTCTATTATATGTGCTGTAACTACCCAGAGTAGTGCCTTGGCAATAATGGAATGGGGATACAAAATGAAGGAAGGAAGGAAGGAAGGATATATACGGATGGAAAAGTAAAAATGATTTTATAATTAAAACAGAGTCACAATACATCCCATCTGAGGGGGGATCCTGACTAGGGAATCTGAGCTCCCACTGAGTTTGCTGTCCTGATGCTCACTGTGGATGATCCCTCATCTTTTTCCTTATGGTTCTTTAACTTTAAATCAGAGATGAGTCCTCGAAACAGAGGACACCTCCAAAAAGTAGAGAGACCTCTGGTGGATTTTTAAATAGTGGACTGCCCTCTGTTTAAAAAAAAAGACACATCACTCTTCTACATGGTCACTCTCCAGCTCAAGTCTTGGATTCAACAGCCTTTGCAAGAGAAAATGCATTCTCTGTAAACGAGGGATGGCAACCTCTAGCTCTCCTAGAGAAACTGAGAGAAAAACCATCCGTTTACCTCCTCACAGTGAGATCTACATAACATTCTTACCCCATAAATCACATGGAGAATCTCATAGGATTTATTTGAAATGCTGTGGTCATTTTTTTCCTGGAAGGGATGCCAACCTCTGTGAGATTATCACAATTTCTGCCTAGGGTAGCATCTTTCCTGTGCAGGAATCATCTGGAAAGGACAGAATATTTCCTATATAGGATTCACCAGGAAGGACAGCAAAAACACCAAACTGCACAAGGTTGTTATAATCCCTGTGCCACATGGCATATTTCCTGTGCATGAATTGTCTAGAAAGGGCAGAAGAAATGCCAAACTGTGCAGGATTCTTAACATTCCTATGCAGAATGTTATCTTTCCTGGGTAGGATACACAAGAAAATGTATTACGTAAAATTCTGCCTAATTCAGACAAGTGCCTCTCTTCTGCAGGGAGCCAGGAACCCTCAGTGATAGGGAGAAGTCCCAGTGAGTAGTCCCAGCATACTGAGAAGTGGAAAGTCACTGAGAACAAGAAATTTTTGTCATCACTCATTCCATCCCTCCTGTGCACACTGTAGGAGACCCAATGACACAATTATGTCAGTGAGAAGACTTTTGTGGAGGACGGCACACCGTATGACCAGATAAAGAAACTAGAGTAACAGTTCTACATTTTGGTTGTATTTGCTGGCTACAATGTCCTCATGAAGTATTGAGCCTCAGTATCCCACAACTAATACCCAGTGTGGTGTAGTGGATAGAATATCAGCCTAGGACTCAGGAAGTTGAACCTCTGCTCAGCCATGGAAACTCACTGGGAGAGTGGAACTGGTAAAAACACTCTTTCAATATCTCACTATTAAGGTTGGTTCCAACTTGTTGATACATAGCTAACGAACTCTTCCACAAGAAGCTCCAGGCACAGCACTTGATTACCGGCAAACCAGCTGTTCCAGCAGGGTCATATCTTAACAGCAGAAAGCCTGTACATGTAGAGGCTGGCTGGATAGCTTTCTGCTCACCTTCTCTCATCTTCACCTGTTTACAAGCTGGTCTCAAGCCTGACACTCAGAGTTTAGGGAAGGACGCTTTTAAACTAAACTACATTTCCCAGAAACATACGGCTGGCATGACCATTGGCCCTGTTAGCTGAAGAATACAGGAAGTTGTAGTTCAGGATGTTATTATTTCATGGTGTGCTGCAGCTGCAGCTGTGGAAGAATCCTTGGCCCTGTCTTCTCTCTCCTGTCCATGCCACAGACAGCAATCCTCCTATTATATTGTTTCGGCATGACTGATCTGGATCCTGTGATGGAGAACAGCAGGGAGCGAATACCTGGGGATCAATTTAGGCACTTAGTGCTTGGCTACAATTGGGAAGGAGGCTTCCTCTACCAGCATGGTCAGATGCATGCCTTTGTGTGGTGTACTTCCCCTGCAGTTCAGATTTTAGAAGAGGAGTGCCTCTGTGCTCTGTAATGACAAAGGTGGTGCGCATGCATGCGTAAGGCATTGTTGTTGTTTCCTAAGAAAAGCAGCATGGATTTGTTTCTCCTTTAGCTGAAAAGCCTTCCACACTCCTCAACGTTTAATGAGTAATAGGCCATGCATTGTACTCAGCAGTACAACTGGAACAGAACTAGAAACAGCGCAAGTGTTTAAGTTGGTGGGCGAGGAATTTTGGTGGCGGTGGCGGGCTGAACCTTTTAAAGGTAATATTAACTGTGTAGGCAGGCAATTGTCATGAAATAGGAGGACTGGTGTATGTGTGTCTGTGCATGTGTGTGCATGTGTGCGTGTGTGCGTGTGTGTGTGCGTGTGCGTGTGTGTGTGTGTGTGTGTGTGTGTGTTTTAAGAAGAATCTACTTTAAGGTACAGACTAGATTTCTGAATATGGGGGAAAACTGCAGACTGATATTGAGATTAAAGGTCTCCTGGAACACTGAACAACATCTGACTTGAAAGAAGATAAAATAAAACTGGAGTATGCCCTGGGTTGCCCTGACCTTTGAAGAGATGATGCAGGTCCCAGATAAATACTCATCCCGGCTTCTGCCCAAAACTGTATGCTCGGTGTTCCCTTCCCTTCCTCCTACACAGGCCTGCCTACTGCTGAGGTCTTCTGGGCCTGGCTCTCAAAGGATCACCAAGTAAGACAGGCAAACTTCAGGTTTGTGGTGTCTACTTTATTTTTTGCTAGAATGAAGACATGCGCCAACTTGAATGAGGTGGGAAAGAACTGCTAGCACACTGGAATAAAGGAATGAGCTGGAGCTAGATGCAAAATGGTGTCACAGGCCGCGATTTCCTCCTGCTTTCCATGAGCCAGGTAGTGTTTGTTTGTTTTTTTAAACAAAAACAAACTGTAGATTATGAATAGCATTTCATTAGAAGCTGAAATTCCTTAGTGTCCAGTAGAGCTTGAAAAATTACTTTCTAAAAGGAATTCATTGCATTACTCCTTACATCTGTGTAGCCAAGCTGCCGTTGTCATTATCATTGCTCCAATCACACCGCTGATTTGACACCTTGTGCATTATTAATGAATGGTGTTGCCCTTACAGCAAGCTAGAAAAAAAGACAGCGAAATATCCTCAGCTTCCTTCTATTGAACAGTTCTGATACTGTATCCTAGAAATATTTATAAAACTACAAATGGCAAAAGCAAAGAATACTTCCCTTGTCACTTAGGATCATAGAATCATAGAATAATTGAGTTGGAAGGGGCCTGTTAAGGCCATCAAGTCCAACCCTCTGCTCAATCCGGGAATCCAAATCAAAGCAGATCTGGTTGAAATATGAAATAAATAAACACACAAACCAAGACAGGTGGTAAAATAAAACTTTCAGAGCATACAATGCAGTATCCCTTGCTCTTTCCTCCAGTGCCTATGGTCTCCTCTTTTCAACTTCCCCTGATGAACCTGTAACTGAGGGTAGCACATCATTCATTTGATAAAATGGTTCTTACCTATAAAGCCCTTCACTGATTGGGACCTTGGTACTTGTCGGAGCATTTTTCCCTAATAAAAGTCCACCTGTGCCACCCGTTTCTCTCAGGCCGTGCTCCTCTGGGTTGCCACTCCATGAGAGGCAACCAAGTCATCAACTGGAAACAGGGTCTTCTTGGTGGTGGTTCCATCTCTTTCCAATGGGCTCCCTATGGAGCCACATCTGGCTTCCTCCCTTACAGCCTTCAAGAGGATGCTCAAAACAAGACTTTTAACCAAAGCCTTTGAGAACGTCTCTCAACATAGTATGGACTGACTATTTTTAGAGTGCCTGTTTACCATTGTTTGATTTTCCACTGGTTTATTTGATGACCGTTTTATTTGATTATATGTGATGTTTGTCCCTAGTCTTATTATATTTAAGATTTGGTGTGTTTTTTTACGTTTGTTTCTCTCTGGATGTAAACCGCCTAGAGTAGTGTTTATCACTAACTGACATGGCATACAAATCTAATAAATAAATACATTTTTAAATAGACTTTAACCCATGAAAGCTTATGTTCAAATAAATATGTTCAACATTAGGATGCTGCAATGCTTTCCCCCCCAACGGACGAAATGTAACTACAGGTATAGAAGAAGGGAATGCTTTTGCACCATCTAGTGTTGCATCTTGGAATTGCTTCTTCTGGCTGATGTACAGTATATACATTTTTTTCTGGTGTTTTCATTTTCCTATCACATTATATCATTTTTTGGGCTTATTCTTCTTTACAGTTTATCAAGAGGATATCTAAGTTCAAGAATCTGTCTGATTTAAGATCACAGCTCAGGTAAAATCAAAATCCGTGAACGGCAATTATTTTGTGCATTTATATAACACTTCTTACTGAATGAAAAATTCAAATTATTAACACCCAAAAAGTACAACAACAAGAATAGAATGGCCCTTGATTTGAGCAACTGATTAGACTAAACATCATTCTGGGATTTTTTTTTCTTATATATTTTAACAAGCATATTGTTTCCTTTCATATAACAGTTAACTAGTACAGAACTTGGCTTGTAAGTTTTTGGAGTTGTATCCCAGAAATCATAGAATCACAGAATAATGGAGTTGGAATGGGCCTATAAGGCCATTCAGTCCAACCCCCCCCCCATTCAATCAAGGAATCCAGTTCACAGGAGATCTGACAAATGATTTTCCAATTTTCTCTTGAAAATTGGGCCTCCACTGTTGAAGCACACAACATCTCCTGAGGTAACTGGTTCCATTATCATACTGCTCTAACAGTTAAGACATTTTTCTTGATAATCAGCCCAAACATGGCTTCCTGTAACTTGAGCTCATTAATATGAGCAGTCTGGAATATTCAAGTACAGGTCCTTCCTCTCCTCTATATGATTATCTTTCACGTATTTGAAAAGTGCTATCATATTTTCCTCTCAGTCTTCTTTTCTCAAGGCTGAACAGGTCCAGTTCTTTCAGTCTTGCCCCATAGGGCTTGGTTTCCAGTCCTCTGATAATCCTTCTTGCCCTCCTCTGTACTTGATCCAGTTTGTTGATATCCTTCATAAGGTGCAGTGTCCAGAACTGGACATAGTACTCAAGATGAAGGCTAACCAGTGCCAAATAGAGTGAGACTAGTACCTCACAGGATTTGGAGACTATATGTCAGTTAATGCAGCCTAAAATAGCATTTGCTTTTTTGCAGCCACCTCACACTGTTGACTCATGTTCAGCTTGTGATCTATGACAATTCCTTCTCACTCGTAGTATTACTGAGGCAAGTATCCCCCATCTTATAACTGTGTTTGTTTGTTTGATTTCCCCAGGTGTAAAACTTTGCACTTATCTCTGTTTAATTTTATTCTCCCCACCTTTTTTCCCCTTCTTCCGCTCAGTACTTGAGACTATCAAGATCTTTTTGAATTTTGTTCTGGTCTTCCAGTGTATCAGCTATTCCACCCAAATCTGTATCATCCACAAATTTGATACTGTAAGTCATTCTCTGCACCCCCTCATCCAAGTCATTAATAAAATGTAACCTTTCCAAATCGTGGAAAAAAATAAAGCACTTATAAGAAGAAGACTGATAATCCAAAGATTTATGAATCCAATCCAAGAATAAGAGAGAGAGAGAGAGAGAGAGAGAGAAACAAAGGAGTAGGAATATGGAGTGTTGGTTGGCATGCAGGGAATAGATACCCTAGAACAGCTGATCAATATCTGCAAGCTCTAATCGGTTCAAACACCTTCAATAAAAGAAGACCAAGTCAGACCATAATTCTCAAGCTTATCTTGTTTGCACTGCAGACCTTTCTTTCTTCTACTGATAGGACAGCTCGTTGTGACAGATCCTCATAAATAGATGGCATACACCGAGAATTCATCACCCCAAGTGCTAGTAGAATGAAAACTGTTGAACTTTTAAGCTTTCTAATGCTCCAGTTTATCTTTAGGCATGGCCTTTAATATGTCCAATGTCAATGTTTATGTCTCTTTTTTTAAAAAAAATCTTTGCATTGTATACTTGCAATTATACTACATCTTTCTTCTCCAGCCCAGCCACTTAGCACTAATTAGCGCATTAGAAAGGAAAATCACCTGTGTGCAGACAGCTGTCTGCCTGGAGACTGTTGAGGTGAACAACTGGGCCCCAACACGGCACAGCTTTCTTATCACAGGTGTTGGGGGAGGGGAATGCACATCAATGACAAGATTAAATTTTGACCCTGATTCATGGCTGCAAGCAAGACAGCATGGCATTTATACTCTCTTTCTCCCAATAAAGAGACTCAAGGCAGCTTGCAAAATGTTCAAATGACAAAGTTAGCTAAAATGCAAGATATTAGGATACTAAAAATCAAATAAATATGTTGAAACAACCACTGAGTAAAACAATTTACAGCAACCGAAGAGGACATTTAAAAGGTTACAGATACAACATTCCCTCTGCCAACAAGCCCACCACTTTCTACAATTATTTTCCAAAACTCAAAACCTTGCCTGAACAGGAAGTTCTGCTGTTTGGTTCCCTCAGAAGAGGGTTTCACAACTTGGAAGCAGGCACCAAGAGAAAGCCTCTCCACTTACTCTTCCCCAGATGGGCTTGTGAGGATAGCAGAGCTGAGAGAAAGGCTGTTTCAGAGTATCTTAAAACCCAAGAAGACTCATACAGGGAGAAAGAGTGCTTCAAATAGCTTGAACCCAAATTGTTTAGGGCTTTCTAAGTCATAGCCAGTGCTTTGATTTGTGACCAGCAATAGATTTGTAGCTATCAAAGTTGTCAAAACAAGGAATTTTGATTCTCCTTGTAACTGGCTCTGGTCAAAAGTCTGTCAGCAACATCAGAGCCCCACTGATGTGTCTGAATACTTTCCAAAGACAACATAGAGTGCATTGCAGTAATCTAAGATGGATGTCATTAAGAGATGACCATGTTCACCGTCCACCAGTCTGTTCCAGGCACAATTCTAGATTGGGTTTTGACTTAGACAGCCCTCATATGACTTGGGTTCAGATGATCTGAAAAACTGCTTCTCCTCACAGGAGATCTTTGGGGAGACGTTTTTTCTTGGTCCCATCACCCTTAGAGGCATACCAGATGATGACACAAGAATGGGCCTTCTTGTTGGCTGTTCCCAGGCTGCAGAGGTCAAGGAGATTCCCTGCTGTACTTCCACAGACAATTAAAAGCCTTCTTCAATCACATCTTAAGGGAAGAATTTTTAATGGTGAACATTAGAGTATACATCTTTTTAAAATGTGCCTTCCCCTCATTTTAAACTGTTTTATGTATTTGTTTTAATATGTTTAATTTTTTTATGTATTGTAATTTATTATTTTCTTAACTGTCACATATTTGTCCATTAAATATTTTGTAAGCCTTCTTGGGGCCCCTGTATTGGGAGAAAGAGAAAATGTAAACAGAAACACCAAAGAAAGGAGAATATAGTCCTTCAAACAGCCAGGATCTGAGCCACTCAGGCCCTTCCTCGGTCATTGTTAGGACTTTGCATTATGCCTAGAAACAAAGTGGTAGCCAGTGAAGCTCTTGCAGAAAGTTCTTTCCATGCACCAGTCAATGGTCTGGCTTGGCGCTTCTTGAATTGGTTGAAGTTTCCAAAACCAGACTTTAAGAAGAGTTCCAAACTTTTTAAAGGCAGCCTGACACCGATTACCCTGCAGTAATCCAGATGAGATGTTAACGAAGGCACACTCAGGCATGTTGCTAATAAACCTGTACTGCTTAAACACCTCTAATCTTACCTTGTGGTTCTGTTTCTCAGAGGTTGGGTCAGCCTCTCTATTCCAGTGGCATTGTACTAAGTTAGGTCTTAAGTTTGGTCCCTTTTGTAAAAACAACAGCGCTGCAGGTGGAACTCAAGGTGAGCCATCTAGGCCACCATCCTCCCCCCTCCCCAGTGGCCAGTCAGATGCCTCTGGGAAGCTCACAAGCAAAATGTCCTTGCTCTGTTAATCTCCACAACTAGAGATTAGCAACTCCACAACACAGCCTCATGATAGGAAGCTATGGAAGTAGATAAGTAGGGGTGGGAAAAAGATGGAGAGAGAGTGTGTAAACAAAGGTAAAGGTAAAGGTAAAGGTTCCCCTTGACAATTTTTGTCCAGTCATGTTCAACTCTAGGGGGCAGAGCTCATCCCCGTTTCGAAGCCATAGAGCCAGCGTTTTGTCCAAAGACAATCTTCCGTGGTCACATGGCCAGTGCGACTTAGACACCTAACGCTGTTACCTTCCCACCGAGGTGGTCCCTATTTATCTACTTGCATTTACATGCTTTCGGACCGCTAGGTTGGCAGGAGCTGGGACAAGCAACGGGAGCTCGCTTTGTCACATGGATTCGATCTTACGACTGCTGGTCTTCTGACCCTGCAGCACAGGCTTCTGCGGTTTAGCCCGCAGCGCCACCACGTCCTCCTGTCTGGTTCCCTCATTGTTTTGTGTGAACAAAACAATGTGCATATTGTCTGATTCCCTAGGTGTCCTACAGACATTTACAGACCTCCTGGGGAAAAAGGCTTATGGCTTGTCATAGGTGACACTATCCCAGTTCAGGGTTACTCCCAGAATGAAACTGGACAACCATTGACAAGCATTTCAAAATTCATCTGGAGAGCTGGGTATGACTGTTTTCTTTGTTTTAATATTTCCAGGCAACTTCAGGTTGTCTAATTTTACAAACTTTATTTCAACTTATCTTCCAGGTTCCATATGAACACAATCATTTTAGAGTTGTTTTAACATCCATCATGCAGTTGCAAGAAAAACTGTAGGCACAAGTTTTTAAAATCCATCCTAGCAACTTGTAGCAAGTTGCAGGTGTCAAAACTCGAGTTGTGAGCGAATGCTTCACAATATAGGGACAAATTATAAACAAATAACAGAATAGATGTTTAAAGTTACATTCTCAAAAAATATATAGAAGCTTATAGCCTGTAAAGCCAGAGAATACATCTCTAAGTAATAAAATTGTTGAACTTAAGCCAGAGAATACATCTCTAAGTAATAAAATAGTTGAACTTAAAGTAAAATACATTATTCAGCCTTAGACTACAGTATCTAGACCCCATGAACTTAAAGTAAAATACATTATTCAGCCTTAGACTATCTAGACCCACACAAAATCAATAGAAAATATTCTCAACCACTTTAACCAGTTTTTACTTAAAAGTCTATGTCACACACAGAATGAAGTACTTCTGCCATGCTATCTTATCAGTAATTGTGTTCCCAAACAAGGTAATTGTTTTGATACTGTAATGTAAGCTATCTCCCAAAAGTAAAATACATTATTCAGCCTTAGACTATCTAGACCCACACAAAATCAATAGAAAATATTCTCAACCACTTTAACCAGTTTTTACTTAAAAGTCTATGTCACACACAGAATGAAGTACTTCTGCCATGCTATCTTATCAGTAATTGTGTTCCCAAACAAGGTAATTGTTTTGATACTGTAATGTAAGCTATCTCCCAAACTGTAGTTTTTAAATGTATTTTGACTTTTAACACTTTTCCTTTTTAGGGCAACAGCACAACAGAGCAAGTAAAAGTCTGAATGCCCATCTATATACTGTACGTACTCCCCCAATGCATATTATGCATTTCCAATAGTGGTCAAAAGTAGGAATGGGTGAAATTTTCTCTCCATTTGGTTGTTTATCAAACTTTGCACATTTCATAACATTTGAATGGTGGAAAAGGCAAAACTAAGAGATTGACCCATCTTTGGTCACTAATGAGGTATCCAGACCCAGTTACTCATATGTCTATGAGTGGAATAATGTGCAAGAGCAAAGTATACTGTCTTGGATTTAACTGAAGTGTGGATTCTCAAGGAAATTAGGATGAACCCCAATTTGGAGAGGATCCCCTCTCCCATTCATAGGCCACCTACAGAAATCAAGGAATTTACAGTATCTTTAACCTGGCCTTAAAATGGCAGAGTAAATTTTTTTTTTAAAAAAGTTACTTTTATTTCATGTTAAAATTATAGGGGGTGGAGTGCTCTCAAATCAGCAAAAAAAGTTCTAAGAGATATCTTCAGAGCTGTGCTTGCACAAAGAGTTCTAGCTAAAGAGACTTTTAATGGGGGGGGCAGAGTGTGTGAGAGGAAACTGAGTATAACTTAACAATAAAACAATAAACTTCCTCTTATTACATAATGGATGAGATAGTTCAGTCAGGAACCTACAGAGTAGATTGAGGTACAAGTCTTCCTCAGTAGACCACTTATTTACCTTATTAGTTTGCCTCAGCTGACACTTACCGTCTTAATATATCCACTCAGAGACTCTGGTAATTAGAAAGAACAAAATGTTTCCGTTTACTTACAGTTCTTCATATATGAAAAACAAACATAGTATTGTGTAAAAATGTTAACTTGTTACATCACTGAGCTTCACTGGTTAACTAGCTTCATTACTGTGGTTGACTGACGGGTTATGTAGCTGACAGAACACATCACTCTAACTGTTTACTTCTGACAGACTCCATTGCTAACACTTACGTACATTGAGAGAACCTTGACTGGAAAAAAAAAAACTGAAGTAAATGGAGAACTATTGGCTGTTACTGAGCTGATTGATGTTCACCCCAGTCCAAAATGTTCCTCCCAGCAAACCTCTTGAAATCCATCATATGTAGGTTGCAATATATCCAACAAATTTTAAAAGATATAATAGAATAATGGTAGCATACAGTGAGTCGCTCTACAAATAACATTCAGTTATCTTCAGCTCTAGCTGTTGAGCATATTTTATTTGGTAACGTTTTAAATACAAAATGTTGGCCCTGGTTTTCTTCTCCCGGAGTAACTCAAAGAGGCTACTGGAGCATAAAGACAAAGTCAAGTTTAAAAATAACAATAATTCAATTTTAAAACAAAAATTGTATGTATTATGTACGTGCCGTCTAGTCAGAACCAGCATATAACAACCCTAATAGGGCTTTTAATATAAGCAAGATATTTTAAGGCGTGGTTTTTCCAGTGCCATCTGCTCCCCCAGTGAGTTTCCATGGCCAAGTGGCATTTGAACCTGGCTCTTCCAAGCCAGTCTATCACTCTATCCACTGCACCATACAAACAATCTTCGTTCTAGTCTGTCATCCGTCTAGTCAGAACCAGCATATAACAACCCTAATAGGGCTTTTAATATAAGCAAGATATTTTAAGGCGTGGTTTTTCCAGTGCCATCTGCTCCCCCAGTGAGTTTCCATGGCCAAGTGGCATTTGAACCTGGCTCTTCCAAGCCAGTCTATCACTCTATCCACTGCACCATACAAACAATCTTCGTTCTAGTCTGTCATTCTGTCCACAGTTTCCATGGCCAAGTGGGATTTGAACCTGGCTCTTCCAAGTCAGCCCATCACTCTATCCACTGCATCACACAAACAATCTTCGTTCTAGTCTGTCACTCTGTCCACTACAGGACAAAAACAAAGTTAACAGACTGAGGGTGTGACTACACAGAGAGGGAAATGTGAATTCACACACATTGTCTTGCTATGATGTTGCACCAGGGCATGTGGTTCTCTCAAATTTAAGTCTGCACACCGTTTTTTCAGGAAAGGCCTTGGTATTGCAGTTCCATATAAAGCACCTCTAGATGATGCGGATCAAAGGAACTGCCTTTAAAAAAGGCTTTTCCTTCAACCCTTTCTTCATCTTACCAACCTGAGAGCTTATTAAACTGGAATATATAAGTAAATAAACTAGAACTCTGCCTCCCCCCTGGAGAAGCAATAAAAAAAGTCTTGGGAGACAGGCTTTGTAGAGAGACTTGAGTGCTAGTGCTATGCATGCACATCTGCATGTGTACATGAGCACATGCACTAATCTTATCTCATACTTCACTTGTGAGGCAAGAGGTGGGAAAGGTAGTTTGGCAAAGCACCTCTGTGTGTGTGTGTGTGTGTGTGTGTGTGTGTGTGTGTGTGTGTGTGTGTGTGCGTGCGCGCGCGCACGCGTGCATGCACATGTGCTCATACTTGTTTGGGCTTTCCTTTCTACACTGGTTCAAGTCGCGCGTGTGCGTGTGCGTGCGCGTGCGTGCACATGTGCTCATACTTGCTTGGGCTTTCCTTTCTACACTGGTTCAAGCGATCACACACTTTGAACCAGAGTGAAATTATTCAACTT